GGAAGCAACTTGGGGCTTTGTTTTTAATGTGGAAAAATCAAGAGTTCAGTTGTGGACACACGAAGCTGGAGATATCCAAGTGGAGATGTCCTATAGGCAGCTGGATATTTGAGCCTGGAGTGCTGCCGGGGAGAGGTCAAGGTTAAAGATATACATCAGTGAATGGAGGCTATTTACCACCGAGGGCTGCTGGGGGACTGCCCTGGAAGGGAGAGTAAGAAAGAGAATGGGAAAGGCTGAAGGTCAGAACCCGGGGGCAGTCAACATTTAGAATTCTGGGAGAGGTGAAAGACCTCTGCTAGTGGGGGAAATAGAAAAGGAGCTACTGTCTGAGCCATTCGGGAGCAGACATTTGATGGGTACAGCTGGTGTTAAGCTTTAAGAATGGAAAAAAAAAAAATTATTGGTGGGAGAACAAGCAAAAGTTCTAAACTGCCGTGAAAGTGAATAACGAACCGAAATGTGACCAGGAGAGGAGAGATGATGGGGAAAATGATCATTTCAGATCCCAGGGGATCTGTTCCATATGCAGGGAGTAGGATTACTGACTACTTCCTACAGTATTGCTCAATAGTTTTGTGCTGAAACGGGTTTGGCTCAGTGGATAGAGCGTCGGCCTGCGGACTGGAGGGTCCCAGGTTCGATTCCGGTCAAGGGTGTTTACCTTGGTTGCGGGCACATCCTCAGTGGGGGTTGTCCAGGAGGCAGCTGATTGATGTTTCTAACTCTCTTATCTCCCTTCCTCTCTGTAAAAAAAATCAATAAAATATATTTAAAAAATATAGTAGTTTTGTTGCAAACCTTTTGTTGAAGGGTTCAGTGTTTTGAGATGCTACTCCATGAGCATCCATATTAGCTAGGATGAGGGAGGGGGGAACGTCTGGCCTGTGGTTCATAGAAGGCCCGCGAAATAATTTGGTCTGGCTCTGCCAAGGCGTTAAGGGTGAATTAATTACATGTTTGACCAAACACAGCAGGTTCATTTTTAAGTTGATCATTTTGTGTGGCCCGAGAACGACGTTACAAATACCCAAATGGCCCTTGGCAGGAAAAAAGGTTCCCCACCCCTGAGCTTTAGGAGAATGCTACACACCGACAACACGCCTTTTTGAAGTGTATTTTGCCGTCCTGTTTCACGGGGACACAATCTGGCACTGCCCCTTCGGGCAGGGAAAAAAAATAAACAAGGCAATGTCAAATGTCACTTGGGGAAAATTCTCTATGAAAGTCTGGCCTGCTTTCAGCAGCTCGTTTTTCCTCAAGCCAGCTGTGGAGTCTCCAATCTGGGGATGAGCATCAGCTTGCTGTGTCTGTGCCTTGCTCCGTTCCCAGGCTTGCTCTCAACGTCAAGGTTAGGCAAGCGTGCTGCAGTCCTCTGTGTGGCTGCTGTCCTGGCTGGCTCTCCTTGTCTGCACCATGACGCTGCTCAGTGCCTGGAGGGGACTGCAGTGCCACTGATCCAAGGTGCCAGGAGCGAGCCCAGATGCTACCAGCAGAAGAGGACAGTGCCAAGGCCGAGAAAGGAGGCCAGGCTGAGGCCTCCAACACACACACACACACACACACACACACACACACACACACAGAGAGAAAGAGAGAGAGAGAGAGAGAGAGAGAGAGAGAGAGAGAGAGAGAGAGAGAGAGAGAGAGAGAGAGGGAGGGAGAGAGAAAATGAATATGCCTTTTTCTTTCCCCTCCTGCCCCTCACCTCAAATCAAACCCTAACAAATGCAGTTACTGTACATTATTTTATAGCTGCACAGGCTTTTTTTTTGGGGGGGGGGATGTTGCAGTTTTTGGGATACCTGTATTGAATTTCTAAGGGTATTATGAGGTTAGAGGCCATGGGTTGCAAACATCTGAAGCGGTAAGTGCAGATGGTGCAGAGTTGTCCGGAAGTCACGGCCTTCAGATTGTCTGCAGGGTTAGCAAGACCAACGAGTGATTCACAGGACATTTCAATGCTTCTTTCCAGGGAGTCGGAGTGCTGGCTCTGAGGGAGAGCGAGGCACATCAGCCCCCTGGAGCTGACTCAGACACCTCTGGCATCCGGAAGACGCCTAAGGAACCCATTTGTTCTTTCTTTGCACGAGCTGTAATACTAAGGGGGAGGGGGAGGGGAGAGGGACACACACCAGCATGTTTGGAGACTGAAATAAATATCTGTCATCCAATGTAGGCATGGGTTTTCGCTCCCTTTTATATTTTTCACCTTTCCCACCGGCTGACCGTAAACCACGTAACATGCAGCCCATGCCGCTGGATTTTGGGATGAGATGATCAAACTCTGGGATGTGAAGAAGGCTTTATGCAGAGAATACAGATGATCATTGTCTTACTTGAGAGTAGTCAAGGGACTACACAGCCCTGGGAAAAACTTGCTTCCTATGGTGACGTGGTTTAATGTCCTATACTGATTCCTTCTCAACATTGCAGGAGGTCTTCTTCGTAACCATGGATCAGCTGCCTCCTGCACACCCCACACTAAGGATCAAGCCTGCAACCCCGGGCATGTGCCCTGACTGGGAATCAAACCGTGACCTCCTGGTTCATAGGTCAACGCTCAACTACGGAGACATGCTGGCCAGAAATAAATGTGTCCTTATTTTTATTTATTTATTTTTAAAATATATTTTATTGATTTTTTTACAGAGAGGAAGAGAGAGAGATAGAGAGTTAGAAACATCAATGAGAGAGAATCATCCATCAGCTGCCTCTTGCACACACCCTACTGGGGATGTGCCTGCAATCAAGGTACATGCCTTTGTCCAGAATCGAGCCTGGGACCTTTCAGTCCGCAGGCTGACGCTCTATCCACTGAGCCAAACCGGTTTCGGCAGTGTGTCCTTTTTTAAATAAATGTGTCACCATGTCAGGGCTCCAAACAAGCATGCCTGCCTCTCTGTCAGGGATGGCTCTCTGTGGTCCAAAGAGGTAACCATGAAATGGTTGCCGTTTGGAGAAAGTCATTTTTAAACCCTGGGCTTAGGTTGAAATGGAAGGTCTCTTGTTTTCCTCAAGTCCTTTGCTGTTTCCCTAGGACATTGGGAAGGTGCAGTTAGGACCCATTAAGAGTTATGGGTCCTAACTGCACCTTTTCCCAGGAGTTGGGTATATAGCAGGCCACATTTATTTAAAAAAGGACACATTTATTTCTGGCCAGCATATCTCAGTAGTTGACTGTCGTCCTATGAACCAGGAGGTCACGGTTCGATTCCCAGTCAGGGCATATGCCTGGGGCTGCAGGCTTGATCTTTAGTGTAGGGTGTGCAGGAGATAGCTGATCCATGGTTCTCTCTCATCATTGATGTTTCTATCTTCCTCTCCCTTCCTCTCTAAAAATCAATAAAAATAAATATATCACATAAATAAATAAATCTACACTAAAAAAAAAACATTCAAATTGACCATCACTCTGCTGCACCCATCAGCCAATCAGGAGGGAATATGCAAATTAGAAGGCCAAAGCTGGCAGCCACCCAGCTGCTCCTGGCCCAGAGTGGCCTGGCTGGGCAGGATGCCTGCTATGTGGGGAAAAGGGGGGGGGGCACAAAGGGATCTACAGGAGTGGCACTCTGGCCACAGTGAAGACAACAAGTCTGCAACGAAGATGAAGATGGCAGACTCTTGCTGGAGTGAAGGCCTGGGTCCCAAGTGCTGGAGGAAAACCTGTGTTGAAAGCCAAGGGAAGGAAGGCCAAATAATTCCCACCGAAATGACTAAGTGCTGGGTGGGCCCGAATCACTGCAGTGACATTGGCGGATGTGGGACTAAGAATTACATTATGTAGGTTATCTGGGTCCTCCTCTTCCTCCCCTCCCCCAACCTCCGCTCCTGCCCACATTTAGATATCAAATGGGTCAGAAGGAGTGGAAGGTAAAAGAAACAATGAAAACAGAAGATGGTAGGATGTCAAGTATTTTGTTACATAGATGGTTGTTTCTGCAGAGGAGGCCTCTGTATGGGGTCCGGGCTGGAACAAAAGGAACAGAGGAAGCAGCAAGGTGAGGGCCATCCACAGACAGGAGGTCCTCTGTGTCTTCGCAGTCTGCCCACGCACCTACTTTCTTCAGGTCAACTTTCTCCCTTCCTTTCCTCTCCCCTGCCACGCCACTTCCCATCTCCTGGACCATAACTGAATGGAGAAGCAACCGAAGATACTTTTATTTAGACCCCTCATCATTCCCAATCATAACCGACGCGAGCTGATGGGAAATCAAAATGCACAAGAGGCCGAAACCGGTTTGGCTCAGTGGATAGAGCGTCAGCCTGTGGATTGGAAGGTCCCAGGTTTGATTCCGGTCAAGGGCATGTGCCTTGGTTAAGGGCACATCCCCAGTGGGGGTTGTGCACGAGGCAGCTGGTCGATGATTCTCTCTCATCGACATTTCTAACTCTCTATCACTCTCTCTTCTCTGTAAAAAATCAATACAATAATTTTTTTTTAAAAATGCACAAGAGATGATCGAGAGGCGAGGCGCTTCCTGATGGAAGCAGTCCCCTCTCTACGGCCCCCACCCCCCCTCACCGTCGTCCTCCCCCGCACAGTGACAGTCTCCAGGGGTCAGCGGGAGCGGAGGGGAGCCACTGCCTTAGTCTACAAGGAGGAGGGCTCTTCCCAGTGTCATCGCCGCCGCAGTCCGGTTCCTATTCGGTTCCTATTCACGCACCGCAGCGCCGCGCAGCCACCAGGGGCGCAGGACTGCGCCCCAACCCTTAGGTCAGGGTCTCGGGGCCCCGCCGCTCCGGGGTGGGGGGGGCGGCCCCCGCAGCCCACGTGCGCTCCCGGGACAACAGCAGGCGAGGCCCGGGCGCGCCCCCGCCGCCCACGGCCGCGCGCGCGCTGCGCCCGCCTCCTCCCCCCCGCGCGTCCTCGTGCCCGCGGCGGCCGCGCGCCCCTTCTCCCGCTGCGGGCGCCGCGGGGCCGGGGGCGGAGCGCGGGCGGCGGAGGCCGGGCCGGGCGCGCGCGCGGGGCGAGCGGGGCGGGGGCGCGGCGAGCGGGGCGGGCGGCTCTGGGGCGGCTCTGGGCCGGCGGGTTGAGCCTGAGGGGCTCCTGAGCCCGAGGATCTTGAGGATCGCGGACCCCGGCGGCCGACTCCGCGCGTGACGGTGGCGGCGGCGGGGACAGCGAGGCCGCGCCGGGAGCCCGGCGTCCCCGCCCCCCGAGCCTGACGGGCGGGCGGCCCGGCGGGATGAGGCGCTGGCGCGGGGGGCGCCCGGCCGAGCCTCCGCGGCGGCGGCTGCTGCCTCCCCGGGCGGCGCGGCGCTAGGCTCCGGGGCGGCGCTCGGCGGGCGGCGAGGACCGGGAGGACGAGGACCAGGAGGCGGCGGAGCGGCGAGCGGCGGGCCCGGCGCCCGCGGAGGGCAGCCACGGAGCGGCGATCGGGGCGCAGCGAGGCCGCAGCGGCGCGGCGGGGCCGCGGGGCTCGGTAAGGCGGGGGCCGCGGGCGGGCCGGGGGCGCCGGTGACGTGGGCCGGCGCCACGGGGAAGGCAGGCTGCGGGGGGCCTTGCTTTTCCTTTTTGGAGAAACAGGAAAAAAAAAAGCTATTTTTTTTTTTTTAAAGTCAAGATTCCGGATCGAATGTGCTTTAGACCAGCTCGGGTTTCCCCCGGTCCCTCCGCGCTCGCTGCCCCAGCCTCCCTCCCTCCCTCCCGGGAGGACCGGCTGGGCCTTTCGCGCCAGCATCTCCCGGGGCCCCGGGGCCTGGGCAGCCCGGGCCGGGCGGGTCTGGCCGCTGCGGGGCTGCGATCAGGGCTCCCTGCCAGGCTTCTGGTAGCAGAGGGCACGGCTTGCAGGGGACCACCGGGATCCTTCCCAGCCTGCCCCCCCATCCCCTCTTTTGGGGGGGCAGGCTGGGTGACAGGTCTCAGCTCGCGGGGACTCCCGTGGAGTTTTCCCTCTCATCGTCCCAATTGGCTGAAGTTGCTGCTACATATTGGACGACACCGGTGACTTAGTGCAATGCATTCCCTGTCTTTCTCTCCCCCCTCCCCCCCAACTCTCCGCCACCCTCTTATCTAGCTTTTCCATTTGGTTGGCTTCAAATAGTTATGCTGAAGATTTTTTAGCAAACAGATCCCAAGACACCGGTAGGAAGAGTAAGTCCAGCCCCATTTCTTAGTTTTAATCTTACTTCTAGTCTAGACCCCTTTTTTCACATCACCTTCTCTTGCTGAAGCTTAAAGAAGGTGAAGGGTTTTGAGAAGGATACTGCCCCCCCCCCCCCAACTCCCCCTACACACACACCCCCAGCCGGATGCTTGGGATGCAGCCTAATAGTTAGCTTTTAGGAAACAGAATTGGGATAATTATAATTTTGATCCGCACGCAGAATCGCAATTTGCAATGCTCGGGGCACTGCATGATGCTACATGGGGAAGCCGGCAGCTGGGCCCCATTGCGTTGTTGTCAGCATCTCTTTTATTTCCTGTTCTTTCGGGCCTTTTATTTGGCATAGATTTGGACCTTTTAGGTCAGGCGGAATGGGAACACCTTCGGATGCATTGTTCGCTTTTTGGAAACGTGGTCTCTATTCCTATTTCTTACCGGGAGCGGAAAAAGCATATGGTGCCAGGGGACAGTGTTTCTGTCATAAGAGTCCAGAGAAATGTGCTAGCTTGGCCCAGTATTTGGAATTTGCTGTATTGTTGCAAGATCTCTGAGTAGGGATGGTTGTGATTCATTCATGTATTTATTTATTTATTTTATTTTCTTACTGGGTGAATGGGAGCCTGACCAGGAAACTTGACATTTGCTCCTTGGACTTGAGCGTGCAGGAAAGGGAAGCTTTAATTGCTGCTACACCACAATCTCAAAGTTTTTCAATTACTCATTGGTGTGGGCTCTTTTTTGAATAGGGCTGTTTGGGAAGACGGGGTTGGAGGCTGCTGTGATTTCCGTGTTCGGAAAGAGCTGGAGTCTAGTCTAGTTTTGAACTTGGCCCTGCGGCGATGCTGAGGAGAGGAAGTCTCTGGGATGGTGGGAGGTTGGAATGGTGCTCCAGACCACTATCTCCTCCCCATCGACTTCAGAGCAGGCCCTGGGATAAAGCAGCACTTTGGACAGAGGCTGGTCCAGACAGAGCAGGGGGGTAAGCCCAGTTTACCAGATGGTGGTGCAGCCAGAGGTGGGTGACAGTGGTACGTGGCCCAGAGAGGAAATGTGAGTTGCAAAGGACCTTTTCTTTTTTCCAGTTACATAACTGTTTTGTTTTCCAGGGATAGACTAAGAAGCAGCCGGGCAGGCTCCACTGCCACGCGAGTCTTTGATGTTGGTTTGAATTCCAGTCGTTATGTTCCTTTTATTTTCCTTTCCCACCCCCCCGCGGCATGATCCAATCACCAGAGGCTATCATCTGAGATCTTAATGTGTCCATACATCCATCCTCACTTCTCTCTCTCTTTCCTTCTTGTTCTCTCTTTAGATGACCTAACAGTCTTTTTCCCCTTTCCGAGCTGGCCTGGGTGTATTGTCTGCATCGTGTATATAGATTCATTGTGGACTGTAAATAACATTTCACAAGTGTCAGGGGCTGGTTGCTGTTTCCTTCAGAAGAAAAATGACACGAAACGAATGAGACGCTGTTCATTGTTTAAACCTCATAAGGGATGAGAAGGTGTTCGATCTCTTCCGGTCCCGAAATTCTGGGATTCTACCTTATTCTTAGGAAACCCATACCATAGTACCTACCTTTCAGAACTTTTGAAATTTTTGATCATTCTAGGGCAGATGGCAAAGTTGATAGAGACTCTTGGCTTCTTTAAAGCGTCAGTTCAACATATCAAAGGAAGGTTACAAGTTAGGGGGAAAAAATTGTATTTTTCTCCATTATTTAGGACAGAAGTTGGCAAAATCCGGTCTGCAGCTTGCTTTTTTTTTTTTTTTTTTTTTTTTTTTTTTTGGTAGGGCCTACAAACCAAGAATGATTAAAAAATTGTAAGTGCTTGAAAAATATCAAAAGAAGAATAATATTTGTGCAAGTTATATGAAATATATATATAATATATCTAGCTTCTATTTCCTGTACATTGAAGTCCAAGGAGCAAATGTCAAGCTTCTGGGTCAGGCTCCCATTCACCCAATAAGAAAAACAAAACAAAACAACCAAGACACATTATTCTTCTTTTGACATTTTTTTGTGCAAGTTATATGAAATGCACACATCAGTATCTGTAAGAGAAGGTCAGCTTGCACGCAGCCCCCTCCTCCCTTTACGGTTGTCTGTGGCTGTGTTGACAGGTCAGCAGTAGAGTTGCATTCTTGCGGCGGAGCTAGCATTGCCTGCAAAGCCTAAGCTATTTCTTGTCTGGCCCTTGACAGAAAACGTGTGCCAAACTCGGATTTAGGACTTAAAATCTTTGCCTTCCTTGGTACAGGCTTTATTTCCTGTCATAGCATTCCCCATAAAGGGCTCAGACCCCCTGGGGAGATACTGATTTTTGCTTTGGAGCCACATGGACTTGTGTTTGAATGCCAGCTGTGGGATCACCTCAGCCCTGCACAAACTAACATCCTTCTGCCCCAGGTACCTCCTTTGTCATCAGAGAATGATAATAGAATCCACCTTGGAAGGATGTAGTGATGATTCAATGAGACATGGTACATGGCAGGTTGTAATACAGAGTAAGTGTGTAGGGAGCACTCAGGACGTTGTAGATGATGATGGTTGTACGTTCTGATCTAAACATAAGCCTAAAATAATTGTACGTCCGTCTCCGTTGCCCCTATAGCATACATTGTTCTCCTGAGTGGTATGCTTACTTGTTATTGATGTTTCTCCTTTACTGAGACCATTCATTCAGTTAACAGCTGATGATTGGAATAACGAGTAATTCTCCAGATGTTGTGTTGTACTTTTATCAGTCCCTTATTTAGATGATTAAGAAAGGGTAGAAAAATAGTTTTGCTCTGTCTTCTGGAGATCCTGGATTTTGATAATTTTCCATACTAGTCTGTGTTTGCAAATTCAATTTAAATGTCACTGTTATTTTGGTACTGCTTCTTATTTTTCTCCTTTGAGAAGATATGTGAGATAAACCTGTTTTAATTAGGCTAGGGTTTGATAACTTTCCTTATAGCTATATGACACTCTAAGTCTAAACTTAATTTTTTCCCCCCTAAAGATAGACCTATTTGACTATCTAGAGCACATGTATCAAACACAAGGCCTGCGGGCCAAATCCGTCCCGCCAGGCCTTGCAATGTGGCCCGCACCGCGCTGTCATCACTGCACTCTGCTGCGTTTCCATCACAATGACAGTTTATGACTGTTCAGTAAACCATTTGGCCCGCAATTTAGGCTGGATTTTAGATTTTGGCCCCTTCTCTGATTGAGTTCGACACCCCTAATCTAGAGGCTTTACTACTAAGCTGCTTTTTGAAGTTTTTGGTTTAAATTATCTAACAGCCCTAGCTTGCATGGCTCAGTGGTTGGGTGTCTTCCTGTGCACCAAAAGGTTGCTGGTTCAATTCCCGGTCAGGGCACATGCCTAGGTTGCGGGTTCAATCCCCAGGAGAGGGCGTGCAAAAGACAGCTGATCCATGTTTTGCTCTCACAACAATATCTCTCTCTCTCTAAACAATCAAAAAACAAAAAAAGAAATCAATAAAAAAATAAATTGTTTTAAAATTGAAAAACTGGATGTACTTTTCACCTTTGAGTGCTGGTTTATTTAACATTAACCTCAAACTGAGAGTGAGCAAATAAACACAGGCCATTGCTCTGAGTTAAAACAGAATTGAGAAGAATTATAAATGGAGCTGCTTTATGGCCCATTGTGATTCTTCTTCTGGGAATTTATCTCAATGAAACCCCAAACCATAATTTGAAAGACTATGTTCACTGCAGTGTTATTTGGAAGCAGCACAAGTGTCCATCAGTAGATGAGCGGATAAAAAAGCTGTGGTACATTTACACAATTGAATAGTACTCTGCCGAAAAAAGGAAGAAAATTTTATCCTTTGCCACAGCATGGATGGACCTGGAGAACATCATGCTGAGTGAAATAAGCCAGTCAGAGAAAGACAAGTACCATATGATTTACTCATATGTGACATCTAATGAACAAACTGAACTACTAAGCAAAATAGAGACAGATTCATAGATAGAGAGTAGGGGTTGGGGGTGGGGGTGGGGGGATATGAGTGGAGGGAGTGAGCAAAGAAAAATAGAGACAACTCATGGTCACGGACAGCAGTGTGGTGATTGCAGGGGTGGAGGTGGAAGAGGACATAGCGGGAATAAATGGTGATGGAAAAAATAAATGAAAAAACACACACCCACAAACCAGAATTGGGGTCATTGTGGCTCCCGCAGTCCAACAAATCATGTAGTTTCATGCCTTGGGGGATGCTTAAATGCAGGGGGATGATCTGAGGGATACCGAAGGGCATTCATGTGCTCACACTGTCCCTGATGGACCCCTGGG